AGTCGACACTAATGAAGCCTTTCAGGTTGTCCACTGGACGCCAACCAACTTCTCCAAGAGCCTACGCCAGCGGGTGCTAGCAAGAGCCGAGGTAGTGGCTAAACCGCTAGCAAATCCAGTGCTGTGTAGTCAGAAGACGCTAACACAAGCACTTTCAATTCCGTAGCCAACGCCAACGTCAGGTGGCGATCGCATATCACCCCACATCCTAGTGACAGTCGTTTACTCCGTGCAAATGACAGTAATTATCACTCCACGTACCTGACCCATGACCAATGCTCAAAACCTATCCTAATTTCCTTCCCTTCCCCGTCGCCCAGCGCACGAACCTCTACACGCCGATTTCGCCATGTGGGCGGCGGGAAAACGGTGAAATTTAACCAAAGCACATTTATTAACCCTGTCCAACTGTACGCTTTTCATTGTCCCTGCAATTATACTGGTCTGGCGATGAACTGCTGAACACATCTGTTTTTCGAATAAACTTTTAAAGTTAAACATGGGAATATTTTCAGAACCTAAACAGTGTTTCATATAACTTTCGGATTTCTACATGTTCGGAATGTTAGACGTAAGAGATGAGAATGAGACCGGTAAGGATGACTTGTATGGCCGTCTAAGTAGGATACGGGAATAGGGACCGCAGACAATAAATGTGACTTTGCGTCAAATTCCAGGGACATTACAGTTTTTATTAAGGTGTGGGTTAGGGTCAAGGTTATAGTTGGGTTTAAGTTCAGAGTTGGAGTCACGTTCAGGATTATAACAAAAGTTTGGGTTTGTGTTAACTGCAAGGTTAGATTTAGGGTAGAACTAGGGTAAAGGTTACGGTATAGACCTATGCTAGGGCTGGTGTTATAATTAAGATACGGAAATCTTTACCTTTCTTTAAATTTATCACAAGGCTACCTATTTTAATTGGGCGTTCCTACTCCCGTGTAATGCTCGGCGGCCATGAAAGTCACCCTTACCATAAAAACCTCTCTCTCCCTCAGTAATGCTGCTGGCCCTGCGCCATTTTCCGGTTGGGGTTTATCTCCCCGTGTCCTATTCCTAATCCTAAAAGTTACACTAACCCAACTCTTAACGCTAAACCTAACCATAGAAGTGGTAACTTTACTTCTTACCTAAACATTAACCCCTATATCTACGAAAGTTAGTGCAAGATGGGTGGGCGGTTGAATAGGCTTGCAGAGCGGGATATTTTGCCTGTTCTATCTGTCGGATAAGAGGGGAGGTTTTACAACAACAGAACTTCAATCTAACTCTCAGCGTTCTGACCGTTCGGATACGTTGGAGAATAAGTTGAAATGAACCTGTTTTGCCTCCATGCTGCTGTCCTTTTGCTTCCTTTTGACGCCTAGGTAAACTATCACTGAAACCAGCTGGCGCCAATTTTAGTTCCCTCGATGAACAGACCAATGTCTACCGTTGTTTAGGAATGTTATACACATGAACCTTCATGGTAGGCGGTCATAAAGTAATCAGAGACATAAATTTGTTGAACTTAATTTTATTCGGTAGTATGCAGTTGCTCAGATGTTGAGCAAAATTTCTGGTGCCGACTGCAGTAAGTCTTTATCGTTGACCATAGACTTCACACATCGAACATTTTTACGGCAAACTGTAGAAACGAGGAAATACAGTCAGTTAGTAGATGCTCACTGCGAGACGAAATTGACCAATGAACTCGTATCAAATGTCCGTTAGTTGTGTAAATTAATCGATCTTAGCTTCTTTCTTATCTGGAAGGCGGACCCGTGGTAGTCTGTCATGAAATTTTGGAAGAAGTATTGATCAGACTACAGTAGACTTATCTTTCGAAGTTGGAGGATAGAAATACTGACAATTTTGCACGAATAATAGGCTAACTTGAGAAAACTCGGAGAAGAAACATTCAACGTGCATGCGAATTAAATAATTTTGTGTCGATCGCCAGAGAGCATTTTTATGTTCCATGCGTTGGCTATTTTTCATGATAGGTCATTAGAAATGTTCCAACTGTTTTCAGCATTTAACTGTCTGTGAACGTTTTAAATTAACGTTCGGATGGGAAAGATTCCTAAAGCGATTTCGCATTATTGATTCAAAAATTTCGGCATTCTGGAATGATTTGTTACTTTGGCCTGATGGCAGTAGATGAGGTTAATTTTATTCACTAACATAGATCACAATCGCAAAGAAATTACCAATTATTCATTATGCAGTTTGTCCATTTTTTACGTTGGTATCTATGCGGCATAGTTCGTGAAGAAGTGTTACATAATGGCCATTTTGTAGAATTGCTAGTCTTAAAGGTGTGTACTTCAAAGAGGACTTATTTATCTTCCCAAAACTTAATAGTCAATATATTTTCTAAAACGACCTTTTATTTTCAAGGAAAGGCGTCCTTTGAGAAAATTAGGAAAATTTATTCAGAAAATTTTCGACAGTGGATCCCCAGGTCATCGTCAGACTTGAAATGCCTGCCTTCCAGTTTATACGAAACGACCTTTTATTTCGTCTAGGGTTTCCGACTGTCAACTTGCGCTCTGTGAACTTCCTAAAAACGCAAACTTATGTCTCTTTAGGTCATTAGGAGGAGAGCTCTTTGTGTCCATAAAATGATAGATATGGTAGGTATGGTCCACGGTATATGCTGTAAAGGCCGAAAAAATAAATGTATAGATAATAGACGGTGAGAAAACTATCAAATCGCCTGTAAAACTCCTAAGTTCAAGCTGTTTGGTCTGAAATGTGCTCCATCTTTCAGGAGTGCAACTTGGGGGAAGACGTCATTGCCCCAAAAAATTTAAACGGAAGTAGAACTGTTGTATCGTTTTTTCTAGAAAATACGGTTGAATGTGTAGAGTGTTGAAGATAAATTGAATAATACATACTACAACGGCGATCCTTTTTGCGAGTGTGCTTGACTTAGGTGAGTGAAAGCATGCTTCATTAGCAAAATACACCCTGGTGGTCCTCCGTTTGCCTGGAACTACATTATTCAGTTTCAGTCGATATTACAATCCCACGCTGGTAGTCCTTTTGATTTCAAAGGATGTGCAAAAAGTTACAAGACATTTAGTGAAATCTGATCCCTAATGCGTACTCATCAACCAAATTTAAAGAAGAAATGGAGGAGTTGCAGTCCACGACTTTTCAGGAAAACTCGAAGCTATCCTGACTAGTTGAGTCAAATATAATGAAATTCTGCGGTGTTATTGTGTGAGGTATAAATCATTAAGTAAGTAGAGCATAAGAGTATTCACATACAGGCGAAACTACGAATCCGAGGAAGTAATTGAGAAGACATCGACAACTATTTCTGAGACAATAACTTCAGGCGAATGAAGTTCCTGTTCCAGCGAGGGCGTCTTCTTATTTTTCGCCGTATTCATATACACAAATTTGCTTTTAGCACTCATCCAACATAGGGACAAGGCAATAATCCAGACGATTGCTTTGACTAACACTTTGCTGCAAATTCCAGGACTTGAGGTCTTAATAAATACTATTGGCGTCTCCGACTAGTTTCTAGAAAAAATACCAGTGTTAAGGGCAAAAATATTATTTTGTTGGAAATTAATCAAATGATTAGGAATACGCCTTAGTAATTAGCTAGTGCCGGTGCTAACAGGCTGGCGAGACCACAACCGAAACTACAAAATACACTTCCTGGTTGTCTGGTTCTCTAAATTGCGGGATAGAGCTACTACGTTTTTCGTCCTTCATTATACAGAAATACAATTATGCCATTTCTCCAGTCATCGTCCTAGCAATGGAAAGGTAAGACTGACAACTATACTATAGATGCTAATAAGAAGGAGGATGGCCATCAACCTGATTTAACGGCATGCGGTTTTCAGCAGTGATCGCTCTTCCGTAAACCCCTCCGGACAGCCGGGCCGTTTCTATCGCCAAATCAAAATGTTACGAAGAACTTAATAATGTTGCCTGCGAGGTCCGGTTGGGCACAGCAAACCTTTCCGTACAGACTTGTGAGGTCGGGTGCCACCGCCAACACGCTGGTGGTGATATTTACAGTGAAAGTGTCAGCGGTGTTGGCGATGCTGTAGTGGTAGTTGTCGTGGGGTGGGGTGACGATTTCTGTGGTTGCGGTTGCGATGACGACCATCTAGGGCACACGAATCAGTTGAATTTTATGACCAGAAAAGTTTCCACTGACATCACCTCGAGCTGAGGCATAAAATCAAGGACAAACATGTGCAGTGTGTGGGGAACACGTGCACACTGTAAGTAATGCAATGCAATGGCGAAACCAGCACCAGTCAAGTTAGTAGGCCCTTCAAGGTCAATAGGAAAACTGAGAGGTTGTACGACTGGAGGATGCGACCCAAATGTCCAAAACGCCTGCGCATGATGACAGGCAGTACACTTGCCTAAACTGCACTTATATTCACTAAGGACATTTTCTTGGTTGATACCTGTTGCCTCACGTTCAGCTGCTATGACCTCCAACATTGCAGTAACTGGACTAGTCACAAAATGTCTCAGTTACTTAGCGTGGGCTGCGGATTCTAACAGCTAAAACAGTGTTCTAATGCACTGTGGGAAATAGAACCAGGGTAATTTCGCTACGAGACATTGCCGGTTATAGATTGAGTCGCACAACTGGTAAACACAGCTCGGTAGCGAGAGCTGTAAAACTCCAAGCGAATGAAAATGGAGCCTCCGACGCCGGTTGTACCGGCGTTCTTCCTCTCGTTAAGGAGACTTGACTCCGCATAAGCAGCTTCGTTATTGTAAAAGTTCCACAGTTCCGATGTTCACCTTTATTAGCCACCGAGGAGACAGGGTAAAGATGACTTGTATGGTCGCCTAAACAGGACAGAGGAACAGGAACCAACCGTAATACATGAGACTTTGTGCCAACGTCCAGGGAAATTTGATTTGGGATTAAGGTGAGGATTAGGGTTAAGTTTAGGATTGGGTTTAAGGTTGAGGTTAAAGTAAGACTTGGATTTAGGGTCAGGATTATATTAGGGGTTAAGGTTAGGGTTCGTGCCAACTGTAGGGTTTAGGTTTAGAATGGGACTAGAGTAAGGATTAAGATGACAGTTTAACTTTACGATAGGGTTACTTATTTGCCGTTTCTGACATTTATAGCAAGGCTACCTATTTTAAGCTGGTGGGGCGCTCCTATTCCCGTTTCCTGTTTAGACGGCCACATAAGCCATCGTTACTCTTTCTCTTTCGTGGCTAGTACAGATGAACATCTGAAATGTGACGAGTTTTACAGTAACATTGTAGTGTCTACGGAAATGGTGAGAATATCTCGTTGAATTAACTTCACAAGGAGTACAAGGCAAAATTGTTCCTCGCTTTCATTCCTGTTTATTTTCCTCAGCTTTACC